CATGGTGGGTTAGGGTTGTTTGTGATGATAGGGGTGAACCTTGATGGCCAGCCTTCTTCCATCCAGTTCAACATCTGTTTACATAAAATCCACTCCCTGAATACCTGACACCATCGGCTCGAAGATGAAAGCGACATGAATTTTGTTTAATATGGCGCAGTTTGTGACAGCCCTTAGCTTACTCGCCTTGAGCTGGAGAGAACGGCTTCCCTCGATAGATCAGTTTCAAACCACCTGAGCGGCGTTCGTGAGCGACAACCAATAAGACGTGTGGCGCAACAAGACAAACACGCCAGACGCAAGCGCCTTCATGAGGCTGACTCGGCTGTTAGCGCCCATAATGGTCCGTTTATGTCAGCTTTCAGTCTTCAGCCCACGGTTGGAACAAAGACGGTTTGGGAGCTCCAGCCCAGCCTAGCGGTCAAAAGCTGACATGAGCTTGGTTGAAATGTCCTGCCAAGAGACAATCGAAGGAATTTGTATCCTCAGCTTCATGCTCGTCTTCGAATTATCAAGAAAAAACTTCATTCTTGAATCAAACGATCCAGTACGTATACCCATGACTGAGAGTACAACATCTGACTGTGAGCCCCTCAGCACATTCCTAGTCCGGAATGACCTCCCTTCGTATTCTTGTCCTCCCTCAGTTGTACCTAAATGTAAATAATTACTTCAAAATGGCCCTCCACCCCCTCAACAGCATCTCCATCGTCGAGCTAGCAATCTACACCCCCGCCCTCCTCATCGCCATCCTCCTCTCCACCCGCCATGGCTTCCGCAAAAACGCCGGCTGGCTCTACCTCATAATCTTCACCACCACCCGCATCGTCGGCTCCTCCCTCAACCTAGCCACCATCGCCTCCCCCTCCAACCCCAACCTCATCGTCGCCTCTCAAGTAATGTACTCCATCGGCGTCTCCGCCCTCGTCATCTGCCTCTCCAACCTTTTAGGCCGAGTCCTCCTGGGTATCCGACAACAAGGAACCCAGACGTTCATCAGCCCACGCCACCAGAGACTTGCGCAAGTGGTGATGTTGATAGGGTTGATACTTTCGATTGTAGGGCAGAGTATGATGAGTGGTGAGATTGGAGATGCGGTTAGTGGGACGACGGGACAGCAGGCGGAGGTGGTGACTGTGCCGAATGAGAGCCAGGCTGGGTTGGGGTTGACTATGGCTGGGTTGGGGTTTGTAGTTTTGGGGACGTTGGTGACGATGGTGGAGATAGGGGCGGTGGAGCCAGGGGAGAAGAGGTTGTTGTTTGGAGTTGGGCTGGCGTCGCCGTTTATGATTGTCAGGATCGTGTTCTCAGGGTTGGCTACATTTGGGACAGATCCGAGGTTTAAGAGTTATGGCGGGGTGGGGAGTTTTGTGTGGTATTTTCTTGGGATGGGAGTGATTATGGAGATGATGGTTGTGTTGATATTGGAGGGCGCTGGGTTGACGTTAAACAGGCAGCCGAGTGCTGTGCCGGTTGGGAGGTGGAGAGAAAGAAAGTTTGAGGTTTATTGATGGGAAGAGGTCACGATGGATATAATTGTCGGGCTATGTGTATTAATTTTATTCTGTCCCTTTGTCCATCACCTGGCATTCTGCTAAATGTCCGCTCGAATTCTTTCATACAATATGTATGACAGAAAACTCCTTGTTATACTTGGCAACAGACCGATTTTCTTTTATCCCCTTTTCTATTCCGAACCTCCAAAGCTGGTCACTGCGATCATGACCGAAAGTAACCTTCAATAAACCAACTCGCTGATACTTGATGGGTGAATTCCCCCCAACCTGCTCCAGTATAATACAAGTAATAATACGAGTATCATACTCTATACCAAGGGGTAGACATGTAATTGTGAACCCGACACTAGCACGGACATCCACAGTATCCCAGCACAGGCACGCAGACATAAACGTGTGTTCAATCCGCAACTGGCAGGTCTGGGGTTCCTTTTCACCGTCAATACTATGAACAATTGGGAAAACCAGGTAACCGGAGACCTCAAGGTGTGCTCTCAAGACCCTTCCGAAATACTGTGGTCCTTTAGTTACACAGCTGACGCTTTCAATCCTCGGGATGGTATAGAAACAGTGGCCGAGCTTCTCCAGCTTATAATATAAGGACGGTTCAATAGCACTGGTCACCGATGCCCAGAACCACGAAGGTGCGCGGTAAGGAGTGGAGAGTCTGTTTCCCGGAGTGTTCACCTTCCAGCCTAACTGCCCTTCAAGATTCTCTCTCCACATGCCTGCAAGATACGTGCGAGCTGGTTTGTCTCGTAGAAATGCCTTGGCTAGGCCCGCCAAAGCAGGTAGCTTGTCCTCGTCATAGGTCAAGCTACAGTTTGAGTAGATCGCGACAACTGATTTCCAACCATCCAGAAACACATCATATTCTTTCCCAACATGGTTTCTCGCAGGTGTCGACGAAGATAAGGAGGCAGACGATTCCGCGTCGTGGTCCGCAGTCACTTCCAGTCTGTTCCTCATTCCTTGATGTTGGATTGACCCTTTTGTGCTCTTCTGGGACAGAAGAGTCGTATAGAAAGGAGCTGCTTCGCACTGGGTCTCTTTGCGACATTCCCACAGCATCTGGCTGTCTGAAAAATGAAGAACCCGTGGCGACATGATTCGCTCCTGGAATGCCCAGCCTCTTGACTGTAATGGCCCACTGGAAATACACCTTTCTGCGAAGCCTGGATCGAAAACATGATAATCATGATTGTCGCGACATGGATGTCCGCTAGGAGCCTTGATCTGTCGAGTGAATGGTACGGGGTCTCTCTTCCGAAACAAGCCATCTTCTGGACTTATAGAGGCGGTAGCTGCAATTGTACAAAGCGAATTCGCGTAAACCTTCCACATGGCGGCACCTTCGTGCTCCCAGTCTTCAGTAGAGTCCTGGATGATGCAGAGGGCATCGATCCACATGTAACGAACGCCGAATGCCCGGGCAAGCACAATCAGATCCTGAAATGTTCGAGGAAGCTCACTGATCGGCAGTCCCTGGCGGAAGGAGTCTAAGGTTGAAGATAAAAGCATGACCCGCTGAATCTTTACCCCCACATGTAGCTCAGAGTAATGTACTGGGCTCGGGCGTCCACCCCGTCCTCTCCGGTTAACACGAGTCTCAAGCTTCCAGTCGCTTCGGGTCCGATATCCAGAAGCCGCGAAGGAAGGTTAGCTGTATTGCGACCCGAGGGTTCCAGTGTTGATGCGCATTCCTTATGAGATGTTTGACAATGTCTAAGCCAATGAATGGCCAGGCGCATGGTTGGACTTGTCCCCGCTGATGTATCATTGTCCCGCGATATATCGCGGTGCATGTGATGAGCCCGCAAATTATCTGTGTGTAGTTTGATGAACTCAGAATACTGACAAGCTTTCCGATGAGTAGTGTCTGGTAACGAACGGGGTCTTACCAAAGTCTGGGACCAAAGTGAGGCTGGTGAAGGTGTATTCATGCTCGTTCCGGTATGTAGCAATGAAAATGTGCTTGCCATGTTTGATCCAATCTTCTGGTCCACTGGTGATTGTAGATGATGTAGTGTCAGGAAACTGGCAGTCTGGTTCTACCCCTGACTTTTGTTTCCCCTTTCTGAGCCCACGAAGTCTGACGTCTTGCATGACAATGCAGCAGATCGCGCAGCCGTTTTGCACGGCGTCTCGAAAGGACAGCTGATCATGGTGGCATAATCTAAACGTCCCATATCGCTTCACCCTAAGGTCCATAGGGTGAGGATATATGAGGCTGGTGCAAGCTGAGCAAAGGGTTGTAGGGGACGTAGAAATCGGCCTACTACCCTCAACTTCTTCCACTCGTGGACTGCACCGCTGTCCCTTTCTCTGCATTATATTCATTACCTTCTTCATAGTTCTCCGCAATGTTTGTATTTGAAAGTAAATTCAGAAGCCTTCAGGAGTAAACGAGGTTTTCATGAATGACGTCCGTGGAAAGATCGGTGTAACGCCTGAGGGGGCCTTGTTGCTGCCTCACCCTACCAGGCTGATTCGTCGGCCTGCGATAATATTGATGCGGGTTGCTGGCTTGGCCAATCGGGCGGAGATGATGGTAGCTCTTTGGCTGCGTGACCGGACGCGTGACAACCAGTGTACGGAGTATTTGATGTCCATCAGCAAGAAGGCTCATGGGTAGGTCGATGACAAACATGAATGCAGCATTTTGCCCAAGTGCCCAGCTTGGAGGGTATCCCCCAAACGTAAGGTAGCTACTGTGAACCGATGAAGATTTCAGGTGTTTTGATTCAAAGATCCAACGTCCCACTGCCGGTGCTCATATGATGGGCGTTGTTGGTTGTGGTTGGTAGGTATAGCCCGCAGCCTTGTCTGCGGTGTGCCTAGGAGCCTCAAAGCCCCGGGAACTCAAGGATAAGCTCGGGCGGGGTAAGCCGCCCCGACCAAGAGGTTGTAGAACAAGATCTTGAATATGGATTCGTGTGACGATCAGCCTTATTTTTGATATCGCAATTTTCGCGTATCCTGGCCTATGAGTTCATGTTGGACAATCGAGAGCTGTGGTGGTTGTGGTACTTTACTGTGCACTACAGGAAGTCAATCCAAATTGTCTCATTGGACAGAAGGGGTTAGGTGGGTAGTGGGGTTCATCCGAAGTGGGGGAAACGGGTCCCGAACCGATCTGGGATCCGGGCTCGGCCCGATAATGCCAAGAACATCATTGGATCCCACGCAAACACTGATTGATCACTGATCTTCATCCTACACTCATCAACCACTGTTCTACATGCAGTCTACTTACTGGCTTCAAAACACTCGACTCTGACTGCCGACATATGCGACACATGACTACAAGAAGCCACAATGCCGCAGTGTGATTCAAGATGCTAGACGCCAATGTGTCGACAAAATATTGAAACACAGCCACAAGTGCCACTTCCTCACAAGCGCCGGCAGTGGTAGAGAAAGTTCCACAGCGCACCAATAGCACAGCGGCCCGACAACTCTCCTGACTGTCGGGAATCCCATATACTGCCCCATGAGTATAATCTCCATCCATCTTATGCCGCATCCATCCCCTAATTTGCGCGCTCGTAATAACTTGAGCTACAGATGCATGGTGTTAAGCCTCTGCCTGGGGTTGTGTTCGAAATACTCGACAGAATAGGAAGGCCAGAACTGACATCTGCCGGTCCCTGCATGGCGTTCTGCAGCCATAAGCTTCGTGGAATCGTGATTGATGCTCTGGCAAGGGGCTATGTTTAATTGTTGTAAGAAGTGGTCAATGCATGGGCTTTTCCCCCAGCTTTGCCTGATGGAGTCTAGTGTAGGGCTGTGTGCGGGTTAGCGCCATCTGGAGGATCTGCGTGATTTGACATCTGGTGAAGGGAAGGGAAGGGAAGGGAAGCCCTTCTGCGCCTCTTGGATATTTTGTCCAGATTCGGCCACTTACAACCTTTGCTGCGAGAAAGTCTCTCGCCTCAAGATGATTCCATCTTTGGGACGTTACACCGAGACGCTATTCGCCAAAGACCGACCTGCCTTCGGGCGTCTGCAGTTGCTACACACACACACACACACACACACACAGAGCATCTCCATCCGGTGCCCGGTGCTCAATGACGTTCGTGGGGGGACCAATGTCACATGCTGACCGAACACAACTCCCCGCTCGGTCCTGAAGATGTCTTCAACAACGATGATCCTCGATATACCGTGTCAAGACAAGTCTGCCAGCCATATGCCCTTCCATCCGGCAAATCAGTCATAATATAAAACAGCATCGTGCCATGGTACGTGTCGACGCTTTGTCTAGGCAGAGGCAGCCGTATCCACCCCCTCGCTAGCTAGCTCGACGTCGTTTAAGTATGGGCGGTGACGGCATCACAGCATCTCAAACGCCCCGAAACGTCTTCTGGACTGGCAATTCCGCACACTCTCGACATTTTCCATCCCGTATTCCGCACTTGGCGGCACATAAGTGAGCAGCCACGCCGGCGAGAGAATGTTTCTAGAAGGGCTCTCCAGATCCAGCATGCAGCCATCGCCAGCCATGGGCGCCATGACCACCCATAGCGAGCTCTTCCCCTTCTCGCTTGAGGTGATCTCGTTGACGAATCAGATCTCGCGGGGACCTTTTTAAGCTTCGAACCCCGGTCTCGTCTGGGAGCACCGCCAAGTCTGATCATGTCCCCTTCTGCTGGGAGAACGCCTTCGCACAGGTGTCCCAACTAGGAAAGACCCCTGTCGTCTTCGTCTCTGCTCCACACCAGCACCGACCAATGGTTAGATGGTGACAACACCATCGAGAATCGAGGGTTCAAACACATGGTGAAGGTCTCGCTTCACGACAGCAACATGCCCAGTTGCCCCGAGCGCCAAGGTACCCGTCTAACTAGAGGCTGTGGTGCCGCTGTCAGGGGCTGTGTGGGCAATATCATGTCGTGGGCAGCGGGGGCTGCTTGGCGTTTTCTCCATCTTCATCACATTCGCAGCCAGTTGCAGCCCATAGCCCTATGAAAATCAACCCATGAACCGAGGAATTGACTCAAGGGTTCCGCGGGAGACACGATACAACTCTGGTCAACCTCAACCGCCCCAGACTTGAACCTGCGGCCTCCTGTGCACCTCCTCCATCCTCCACACCCCAACTCTGCTTATTATAAGACCTCAGCCGGACAGGCTCCTTCCTAGGCATTCTCCCCACACCTCGGCCGCCACTCAAACACAGCATTCTCGTTCTCATTCGACATCCTCAACGACTGCCTTGTGCCTCCTTCCGGATAGCGCCAGCTCCCTCCCGGTGAGCAGCCATAGCAGACGGCCACTGAGACGGACGACCGACCCCAGCTCGGGAGCTAACTTGAGGCTCTTTGGTCGATGCCAGCGGCGAGTGAGACTGTGCCGTCAGACGCGTTGTGTTCAACCCGGGTCTTGTACCGTGTTTGGCATCAACCGGCCAGTTCCAATCTTCAAAATGGTCTATTGTGGGAAGCCAAGTAAAGGATGCTCCAACTGTCGTGATCGAAAGATTCGCGTGAGTAGCCATTTCCTTCAGCCTATTTGCCACCGATCCCACTCAAGGGTGCTCGTATAATCAGCAGACAATCCACCGCGACTCCATCTTCTGCCCTCACTATCAAGCCACCGTCCTGGCTAACATAGCGCCCAGTGTGATCAGAGAGCACCAGGATGCGGCCAGTGCGAAAAGAGGCATCAGACATGCCCTGGCTATCGAAATCTAGTGGATCTCATGTTCCGCGATGAGAGCTCCCACGTCATCAAGAAGGCCAAGGCGAGGGCCCGCAAGAAGGGGAATCTGATCGTCGAGCCATCAACACCGTCTGGATCCGAGGGGAGGTTGTCAGTCACACCAGAACCTCGGGGAAAGCCATCGGTAACGATAGCAGTTCCCGCCACGCCAGCCCCAACCAGTCCCGCAGATTCGGATGCATGGGGATTCGACGACAGCCTACTGATGTCACCAGAGTCGGGAAGCTGGCCAACAACACCTCCCGCCATGGCACTCTACAACATTCCGGCGGTATGCCAGGAACACGGCTTTGCCTTCTTCTTTTCACGATTTGTGACAGCACACGAAACGGCCTGTCACCAGAAATTCGACTTTGTCCGAGAAGTCTGGAAGCCCTCCCGAACCAAGCGGGAGCGGCAGGTCGACTCTGTCCTCGCCAGCTTGACAGCGGTGGGACTGATGGGCATGGCTAGTTTACAACGGAGGAACGATCTGATGGATGCTGCGAGGAAGTCGTACGGGGTAGCGTTGGGACTGACCAAGGATGCGTTGAAAGATCCGGCAGAGGCGGTCAAGGACAGCACCATGCTTTCCATCTTGATCCTCGGTGTCTTTGAAATGATGGCCGAGAGCCCAGCGCGAGCACGAACAGTCACTGCTTTCCAGGAGCATGTCAACGGTGCTGCCGCCTTGGCTAGAATACGAGGACCAGCCCAGTTCCAGACCCGAGCCGGAAGACGAATGTTTTCGATGCTCTGCCAAAGAGTTGTGATCAGCTGCGCAATGAAAGATATGCCTATGCCACAACACTTGAAGGAGCTCTGGCATGAGATGGCCAAGACTTTGGAGCCTGAGGACCCTACCAGACACC